TTTCAAATTGTCTGGAAAATGTGCCTTCCTCGCAAACTGGAGATCAGGAATGGTGAGCCTCCATGATGCAGAGCCATGATGGATGAAAGACTTTTAGATTGCTTTTTTGTTTGTTTGTTTCCTTGTTTTTTTCTTACCCCCCCCCCCTTTTTTCAGAGGGGGTGCAGATCTAAAGCAAAGTGAATAAAATGTCAGCAAAGCTGAGATGGTTTTAACAGCCACTAGGCTAATGCTTGTCAGCATGTGCTAACTATATGGCCTGAATCATCCCACTTGGTAAGCTTTTCAAATGTACAAGTTCTCCAGTCCATTTTCTCAAAATCTCTGGATGTGCTATGATAAAAGCACTCCAGTTTCACTGAATTAGAGTGACACACATCTGTTTTCTTCTCAGGATTGCTGGGCAGTTGAGTCAAATAAATCCTTGCTCTTCAACAAATGATCTTTGAGACATGGCTTTCTTTTGACATAAGAAAGAATCAAGATAAGGATCAGATGGATATAGTTTATTTATTTAATTGAAAGAAAGAAGGGAAGGGACAAACTGAGAGCAAGGCTGAGGCAGATTATCCATTTTCTTTTACACTTCAAATTATTTCAATATTCAGAGCTGGGCCAGCATGAAACCAGGAGTGTGGAACTCAATCCAGTCACCCATGTGATGGTAGGGATCAAAGAGTTCCAGCAATTTTCTGCTGCTTCCAAGGTTCCATCAGCAGAAAGCTGGCTCAAAGGCGAAGTAACTGAGCCTGAAATCAACTACTCATAGTTGGAATTCAGTTGTCTTAAGTGGCATCTCAACTTATTGAGCCACAACTTTGGTCCCTATAATTTTATTTAAACATCATTTGAATGCATGATAGGTTATTTGGGCCAATATTCTAAGCCCAAAAGCTAGACAACAATAGGAAGGCACCACAAACCACATACAAATAGGTGAGAATGTGTATTCATTTACAAGAAAATAAAAAGCCAATATTAACAATACTAGTTTTCCACAAATCTGGAACATATTTTAATATAAATGATGATGTCTTATGTTCTTTCATGATAAGTGTGGATCAGTTCAATATGCATGAAAAAAGTTTACTCTGAGAAAAATCTGTACTGAAGTTACATTTCTAGAATCATTTTGTGTCACAATATTGTAACAGTAAATGGGGCTTAAGATAAGATAAATGGTGAAATAAAGATACAGCTTGTGATATTAATAAATTATAGATTAGGAATCCGGAGGAAAAATGGGACTTGAAGAGATACTCAGACCTAAACCCAGTTAATCTGACTTAATTGCATTGGTGAGCATAATTGACAATACATACTATCGAGCCTACTATACAGTCAACAATTATAAAGAGTAGTATATAAAGTGGATAAGGGGAATGCCCTAAAGAATGATTATATCTATATCTGTATCTATATCTATCTATATCTGTATCATAAAATAGAAATTCAATGGTCAAATAATTAACATCATCCACAGAAGAAAATATAGTGTAAGAAATAAAAGTATAAAAAAATATAAATAAAATCTTTACAATTCAGAGAAAAAGGTAATAGACTTACATATTACAGCACAGTGATTGTCAAATGTTTAACATACTGTAATTTAAACAACCACTCACGCATACACGCCAGAAAGCTTCAAAAGAGTCATGGGCAGAGTAGCCATTCAGTCTCATGTTCATAAATATGAATCCCACGTTGATGAACCCAGGTTTGATTTCCATGTTTAACCCCTGACTCCAGTTTCCTGCTAATGGGGAGGAAGCAGTAATGGTTCGTATGAAACTTTACATGCACTCCAAAATCCTTATTTGGCCTTGACTTTTACGGAGCATATAAGTAGATGAGATAAATTTACTTGTTTCTCTCTAACAAATAAACCAAAACTTTTCATATTTTAAAGATATATTTATTTTGGAGGGAAAGGCAGATTTACAGAATCTTCCATCCACTTGCCATAATGAATCTAACTGAATCTATCTGAAGCCAGAAAACAGAAGCTGCTTTTAGGTCTCCCGTGAGAGTGCAGAAGCACAAGGACCAGAGCCAACCTCCCTGCCTTCACAGGTCAGCAGCAGGAAGCTGGATTAGAAGTGGAGTAGCTGGAACACAAGTCGGCACCATATGGGATGCTGGTGCTTGCAAGGGTAAGGTTAGCTTGTTGAACCATTGATTGCATCAGCACCAAAAACTAACCTCTCTCTCTGACACACTCACACCCCCCCACACACACTCTATAAATTTTAGCAACAAAAAATTATGAGTATCATCTCATGTTTGTATTCACTGAGAACATTAGTCAATAAAAAATATCTATGGCTTACTTGAAGTAAAATATTATGATTGTAAAACTCTATTTGGCCAATTAAACTTCCTCATCTAAAGACAACAAAATGGCACTCCCATATTTTTTAAAGCTGAAAAAATCACTACATTTATTTTCCCTAACACGTTTGATGAGCATTTTATAAACATGCCAGCAATAATTCTTTTAAATGAAATGATGAAAATACATTACATGAATGTAAAAATAACACACTCTGATAATAAAATGTGAAATATGCAAAAATGGAAGTTATTCAACCAATGTTCTAATTCCCTATATGTTTGTTTATACAATATTTGTTAAACAATGCATAATAAAACAGACATTTTGTTTGTGGTTTTGTTATTCATGAAGCAAAAAAATGATTAAATGTATCCATTATAGCATAGTACTAATTAGCATACCAAGTGCCCTTGTGTAGTAGTATTCTCTGATAAATAAGCCAAGGAGGAACTGCTGATGCTTTGAACAGGTTAACAAAATGCAGAAGATTGGTTTGTTGTTGTTTTATAGAGCTAAAGAGTAAGAAATAAATAAAACAAATGAAATCATACAATAGTGGAGGTATAACAGGAATACAAAAGCCAACTATAAAAACTCTCAATGACCAATGTTAAGACAATTTAAAAAAATAGAACTAGTATTACCTATTAAAGGAAGTATTGGGCCCGGCGTGGTGGCACAGTGGTTAAGGTCCTCGCCTTGAACGCGCCAGGATCCCATATGGGCGCCGGTTCTATCCCGGCGGCCTCGCTTCCCTTTCAGCTCTCTGCCTGTGGCCTGGGAAAGCAGTCGAGGAAGGCCCAAAGCTTTGGGAGCCTGCACCCGCGTGGGAGACCCGGAGGAGGCTCCTGGCTCCTGGCTCCGGATTGGCACAGTATCGGCCGTTGCGCTCACTTGGGGAGTGAATCATCGGACGGAAGATCTTTCTCTCTGTCTCTCCTCTCTGTATATCTGCCTTTCCAATAAAAAAATAAATAATAAAAAAAGGAAGTATTAAATATGTTGCACAAATATCTATGTTTGGTATTTTATTGAAGATTGCTTAGTAAATATATTAGTGTAGATATATTTCATCAATTTTTATTTTTCTTCTCATCTGTTCTTTTTGCCTGTTTTCCTGATAGCATCACAGTGTTTTTGTAACTATAGTATAAAATTACGTTATGAGGCCAATTAAATGGACAAATGAATTAAAAATATGAATGGCTTTTGCACTATTCTGAAAAAAATAATTTCATTTATCATCTATTGCAACACTCTCTATTCTTGCTACAAAAGAATTTAATGCTGAATAATTCCTAGAATTCAGAAATGAATAACTGCCTTCATTAATTAGGATGCTAGATGTGATGTCAAATTGTTTGTCTTTTATGGTATTTTTCTATCAGTCTTAACTTCAAAAATGTTTTCAACTAAGTGTTTGCATCAAAATATAAGGCTAGTACAACCACTGTGGAAATCAGTATGGAGAGTGCTTGGAGAATTGCAAATAAACCAGCCGTATGACCTAGCTATCCCACTCCCAGGAATATACTCATTAGAAGTTAAATCTGCATATGAGAAGGGGATCTGTATTCCTATATTTGCAACAGCACAATCTACAATAGCAAAGACATGGAAACAATCCAGATGTGTGTCCAAAGAAGAGTCGTTAAAGAAACTGTGGTATATCTACTTCATGGAATATTACTCAGCTATTAAGAAGAATGAAATTATACTATTTACAACTAGGTGGTTCCAACTAGAGACCATTATGCTTAGTGAAAAGAGTCAATCAAAAATAAACAAATACCATATGTTCTCTCTTATATAAGGAAACAAGCATGAAAAGTATAACTTTAATAATCCAATCCATACTGGGTTTTTTTGTTTGCTTGTTTGTTTATTAGTTGTATCCCATGTGTTTTGGTGTTTTTTGTTTCAGTTTTTTTATTCCAAATAATTTCTTTTCTCTTGTCAAATTCATCACTGGCTCATGGATTACACAGTAGCATCATTTTTCAAGAGACTTTTGTGTTTCCTTTTTGTCACTCGTGTGTTGGTTACTCAGTGGCGTGTTTTTCTTGGTGCTGTAATTTGTTGTTGATGTTGTTGTTGTTGATGTGGCTGTTCTAACTCATACCAGTTGTTGACTTTGTTTTATGGCTTCTCAATTATGGAAATGACAGTGATGGAGTACTGGGGTCTATCATATACAGATGTGGGGGTATAATGGAACATGCATCCCTGCTTCCAGACAAAAGATGAATTCCCAATGAATCTGTTGCACATGTGTAGACAATGGGATGCTGGACTGTCTGACATTGTCTGTACCAACAATCTCGGGCTGCGCTTAAATAAGGGACTGATAGAATTATGATTCCTTATAAAGGATTACATCATCGTGTAAAATGGAAAAAATCTGTCTGGGGTGGGAATTTGGGGGGAAATCCCAGCCTATACCAAATTGTACCACATAATTCAAAATCAAAAATAAAAATATAAAAAATAAAAAATAAAAATAAAAAATATATATTTAGTAAAACTAAATTGATGAGAATAATAATTTTCCTAATATTGATTGATTTTTGGTTTGTTTATATATTAAGATAAAATAAGAATGAGCTTAATTTTTATCCTGAAATTATTCATGGTATGTGTGTGTGATGTATATGTGTGTGGTGGTACTTGTGTGTATGTTCTTCACGAATTTGTGTTTCTTCCTTGCACAGGGCCCATGTTAATCTCTGTATCATTCCAATTTTAATATATGTGCTGCTGAAGCGAGCACCAATAGTATGTTCTTTATTTAAGGCATTAAAGATGAGTTAATAGGATGTCAGAGAAGCTGATGTGACATTATTGATTAAAACTGCTTTCTATTTTATAATGACCTCTATATAATTTTTAACACTCTAGCTTTTCCTCCAAGTTTTAGATTAGCTGTATAATAATCCTTAGTAATGAGTAAGTTTCTGTTTGCAATTCAATATCCCTAAACAAATAAAGGCTTCTGTTAGAACATTATATATTTTATTAATTGGAAGAAGTATATAAAAAAGAAGGCAATGGAGTTTTCAAGTAGAATATCTACTTGTACATCAAATATCCTGTCCTACAATTCTATAGTACTAAATGTGCAGTGACTTGGGATTTTTGGTTAAATAAATAATTGCTATTCTTTAAAACACAGAGTCGTTGGTGATGTTCATCTTCTATTGCTATTTCATATCCCATTGAATAGTAGGTACTCAACCATATCCCCTGGCTTACTGCACCATATGGATGAATTGTCTTTCCTCCAGGGCTGGACAATTTAATCTTTCATTTATCATAGCAAAACATCCTTACATATTTTTCAAGTAGATGAGCTTGCAAATGAAAAGATCAGCAAGAAAGTTTTCTATATAGTTTGTGCATAGGTCTTGAGGAAATTTAATGATATGGCTATACACTATGTCAAATTGTTGCACCCATACTATAAAGAAAATTTACAACCACAACATAAAGAAAATTTTGCAATCTGTGATAGACATCTTGCAGCCAAAGACTTACAAATGCATTAGTATAATATTTACATTAGAATGACAAATAAATTACTTCAAATTTAATAACTGATTTTATCAACTATCATTCAACCAACTAATTGAAATAAAAAATGATTTGAATACCCTGATGTTATTCTGTTTAGCTACTGATTCTACAGAAATTATCACCTCTTAAAAGATTTATTTATTTACTTTTATTTGAAAGTACAGCTATAAATGGATGGAAAGACACAGAGAAAGGTCATCCACCTGCTGGTTCAGTCTCCAAATGGCCATAATGAGGATCGTTAAGGCAATCCAAACCCAGAAGTGAGAAGTCTCTTTAGAATCAACAGGGCTGCAGGGGCCCATGGACTTTGACCATCCTCTACTGCTTTCCCAATCTATAGACATGGATCTGTACTGGAAATAGAGTAGCTGGGACTTGAACTGCAGTCCGTATGGAATGCTGGTGGGTGCTGCAGGTGGATACTAAGCCTACTACACCAGGGGATAATCCCATATATTTAAAAAAATATATTTTTAAATTTTTATTGGAAGGTCAGACATACAGAAAGGAGGAGAGACAGAAAGGAAGATCCTCTATCCACTGATTCACTCCCCAAGTGTTTACAAAGGCCAGAACTGAGCCACGCCAAATCCAGGAGTCCGAGGACTTTTCAGGATCTCCCTCGTGGGTGCAAGGTCCCAAGGTTTTGGGCCATCCTCAGTTGCTTTCCCAGGCCACAAGCAAAGGGTTGGATGAGGAGCAGGGCAGCAGGAATAGAACCAGTAATCACATGGGATCCCTGCATGTACAAGGGGAGGATTTCAGTAACTAGGCTATCATACCAAGCCCAGTCCAGTATTTGTATTTTAAAATGTATTTGAGTGACAGAGTACCCGGCAGTCAGTCTGAGAGTGTCCAACCGTCCACTTGTTTTCTCCCCAGACCGCTACAACAATGCCAGGAGGTGGGAACTCAATCCTGATCCCTTCAGGAATGGCATGCACGCAACTGCTTGGGACATCATTGCTGCCTCCAACATCTGAATGAGCCGGAGTATTCATCTTTCTGTCTTCACAATGTGCAGATTTTAAGTTAAAATATTTTAAAATTCAAATTCTTAAGGTTATATGCATCCAACTTAACAGTGCTTTTGCTGAATCCCCCAGGTTTTAATTTGTTGTATTTCCATTTTTAATTCTTTAAATAAAGTTTTTATTTCCATTCTAATTTCCTAAATGGCCCATTAATCGTTCAGTAGCATGCTCTTTAGTTTGCAAGTGTTCGTGAGTGTTCTAAAGCTTTCCTTCTTAGTTTTTAGTTTCCTTTCTTTATAGTCTGGGAGGTTACATGGTATGATTTCCATCTTTTTAAATTTGCTGATACTTAATTTATGGTTACATATATAGTCACTCCTAGAATACTCCCTATGGGTTGGTAAGAATAATGTGTATTCTGTAGCTGTTGAGGAAAGTGCATTGCAAGTAGTCTTCCTGTCCATTTACTAGAGTGCATGTTTCAACTTAGATATGTCTTTATTGATTTTTTTGTCTGAATGATTTGCACATTGTCAAGCATGGGATGCTGAAATCACCCACCATTATTGTGTTAGCTTCTGTCTCACTCTTTTGGTACAAGAGTATTTTCTTTCTTTTTTTTTAAGATTTATTTTATTTTTATTGGAAAGTCAGATATACAGCAAGGAGGAGAGACAGAGAGGAAGATCTTCCATTCAATGATTCACTCTCCAAGTGACCACAACGGCCGGTGCTGCACTGATCTGAAGCCAGGATCCAGGAACGTCTCCCAGGTCTTTCATTGGGGCACAGGGTCCCAAGGCTTTGGGCTGTGCTAGACTGCTTTCCCAGGCCACAAGCAGAGAGCTGGGTTGGAAGTGGAGCCACCAGGATTAGACCGGGTGCCCATATGGGATCCAGGCTTATTCAAAGTAAGGACTTTAGCTGCTAGGCCACATGCCCAGCCCCCAATTGGATTTTTGCTCTCACCTATAGGGGCTGTGTCTTGACAGAGGAGTTTTCAAGTTATTCTATCAAAATCTCTCCCAGTGTCAGATCTCGTGCACATGGGTCACCCCTACTTAGTCCAGCTCTTGCCCTGGTACAAACAGTGGCCTGTCCTGACTGGCTTTCAACCCAATCTGGTTCTTACTGTTGGATGTTTCAGCCAAACCAAGGCGGTCCACACCCAGACAAAGCTCACACATGGCTCAGTAGGGACAGACCTGGCCTTAGCTCATCCTGCACCTAACCTGGTCTTCAAGAGAACCAGTTGGTGCTGGAATCTAGCCTAGTTCAGTGTGCCAAGCCCCAGTCCACACTTGTGTCAGGGGACATTGCAGCCACATCCAGACCATAATGCAGCTCCCACTGTAACCCCTGCACTTACCAATGTGAACCCCAGTCTAGCCAAGGCGTCCCCTTAGCTCCCCAACTGGGCCTGTTCCCGGCCTTAGATTGTGCATGTGCCAATGGCTGCTGTGACTCAACTTAGCATAGATCTTCACCTGTCTTGGCTTTTGAGTTTCATGCTGTAATCTGGCCTGACTTGGCCTGCCCCCCCCCATCATGATTCTTGCTAGTGGGTGATGGAACCTGACCCTGCTCAGTCTAGTCTCATCCCTGCCTCATATGAACCAGTAGATGTAAGAGCCTAGCTCTGCATGACCTGTGCTCCAGCCTGATTTCTGTTCTTGCTGGTTAACTAATACTTGCTCAGCCCTACCTGATCTGTCCCTTTCCATAATCAACCCCACACATTAGCCAACAGTTGGAGCTACTTTGCCCTGCTTTCTCATCCCCCAGGCCTGGACTATGTGATCATCAGTGAGAGTTATGACCCACTAGGGGAGTTTCCCAAGTACCACCATTTGACCCACTCCCAGACCCAGATTTCATAAGTGCCAGTGGGTGTTAGACCAGTGCCTGGCATAGTCTTCCTTTTCATCTTGGCCTCGTGAGCTAGTGAGCTAGTGAACATGGCATCCTGGCCCACCCCACACCCTCTCTTAGGATACACATGCAGGTGCAGCCCAGACTGTTATTGGTCCCTGTACCCAAGAGTGATGGCAGGTTCTGTGGTCACACCTATCTCAGCCCATCACCACTCCAGCACTTAAGCTAACCAGAAGAATTTGTATTACCACAGGGTCGGGCCCACACATCCCCCACAGAATCTATCTCTGGAAATGGTTCTCTCAAGTGCTGGTTAGTTATGGCCCTGCCTAATGTGACCTGTACCCTGTTTCAACATTCTGTCAGGTACTAGGATCTAGCACTGCTAGACAGATCTCCTACCATAGCTTTCACATGGACTGGTGGTAGTCAGCATTGGTCGGTGGTAACAAGTCCTACACAGGACTCACATGTAGACTGGTGTATCAATCTGATCCATACAGATTGTTTGGCCTTTTCCCTTCAAAGTACCAGGTCTCAGTACCCTCACTTACCTTCAAGTAAAGAAACTCTGTCATTGGCAGTCCCTCAGGATTGATTCTTCACTAATACATACATTCATGGAAGTACCATGAAGGGAGAAACATTTGGGCCCATGCAAGCTGAGGTCTCACTCACCATGTGGCTTTGGCAGCTGTGGCCAGGGCCCCAAGCATTGAGTCCAAACTTTTTTGGATATTCCCAGGTGCCACTAGGCTACTGGAAGCCCTCTCCCTTAATTTCATTCTTATTGAATTCCATTCCCTTAGTTATATATATATATGTATTCATTTATTCCATACATTGATTCTCTTTATTTTTAAATATTTATTTTTTTGTTGGAAAGTTAGATTTACAGAGAGAAGGCAAATCAGAGAGAAAAATCGTCCATCTGCTGGTTCACTCCCCAAATCACTGCAATGTCTGAGTCTAGATGATCCGAAGCCAGGAGCCAGGAACTTCTTCCAGGTCTCCCACTTGGTTGCAGGGTCCCAAGGCTATGGGCCATCCTCTACAGCTTCCCAGGCTACAAGCAAGGAGCTGAAGAGAAGTGGAGAAGTTGGACCATGAATCAGTGTGCATATGGGATCCTGGAGCAAGGTGAGGACTTCAGCCACTAGGCTATCATACCTGGCGATCTCATTGGATTGTTTTACAATCATTATCTTATATCCTATATTTGTCAATTAATAGTTTACCATCAGTACAACCCTAAGTCTGGAAAAGCACTAATTCATTTGGAGCTATCATGCTGGCTTGCTCCTGCATATCTCCTGTGTCTTTATGCTGATGTCTGCCCATCTCG